CAACAAAAAAAGAGAGAATGAAAGAGAGAGAGAGAGAGAGAGCGAGAGAGAGAGAGAAAGACAACAAATGATAAAACATACATAGACAGAGACAGGGGGAGAGAGAGAGAGAGAGAGAGAGAGAGAGCGAGACGAACAAACATATGGGAAATGGGGGACTATAGAAAGAGAGGGGGGAATGTGAAATCGAGAGAACCATGGGGGCAGAGAGAGAGAGAGAGAAACGAACAAAATCAACAAAACATAGAGAGAAATATATTCATCAGTTGCACGATTGTAGATTCGGAGTACAGTTTCTGACCCGTGGTGACGCCTCGTGTCTCCACCGCCTGTGGAGGGGTTGTGAATGTCTTGATGCGTTCCCTCTCCTCCCCTGGCCTCCTCCTTAATCGTATTGGCTCACAGTGATTTGGGGTCCCCTGTCGGCGACGGCTGAATGGGAGGGGACCCCGCTGCTGCCCTTCACTTCTTCTGGGCCGTGGCCCGCGATCTTTCGGGACTCGGGCAGCGGTGCCCCGACGTCTCATTGAGCTGCCCAGAGCAGCACTGTCCGGCCTGTCCGGGGGTCACGTGCCCGGACAACAGCGCCTGCTACCAGCTGGTGGGCGAGTTCGCTGCGGCTGCGCGTGGCGGACGGTCAGCGCCGGAGTGCCCGGCGGCACAGGCCTGCGAGGCCTGCGAGAGCTGCCTGGACGCGTGCCCCGCGTTCCCGTGGCTGCTGATCCTGCTCCTCTGCTGCCTGGCGGCGGGCTGTGGCGGGGGAGGCTGCCTTCTCGGGCGGCTGTGCGGGCGGCGCGGCAGGCTGGTGCACTCGGCGGCCGAGGCGGAGCCCTTCGTGGACAGGCCCTTCGCGACGACGCCTTCCACTCTCCGGCTGAGGAATGGCGCATAGGGCTCTCGACATCGTCGAGAAGCAAGTCCTCATCGATTTTTTCGACGACGAGAACGGGCTGTTCTGGCACGCCCGGATCCTCCTGATCCCAGGAGGTCAAGGGAGATGGATTGTGTGCTCGCCGACGCTGGCTGTTCAGGTCGCGGACCTCTCGGCTCATCGGATCCGCATTCTTCGGCGTGGGGAGCCGATCGACCCGGTATACCTTCGGGAGGCGTTCGTCTTCGACGAGGAGCTGGACGAGGGAGAGCTGGCTCGGATCCGGGCCGAGGCGTACGAGCTCGCGGAGGTGGCGGGCTTCGACTTGACGGGCTTCAGACCGGCCGCAGGTCCAGCGGCCGCGGCGGAAAACGCCACCTGGCGGGTCGCGGACACAGCCCATCGGGCCTTCGGGGAGATCGTTCCACTGGACGCTCTTCGAGACCAGGAGGGCTGCACGCTGGGCGACAAAGTGGGCTGGGTGACGATCGACGACGCGGGGGTTGTGATCGAGCAGGTCGTGGACGACAAGCTGGAAGCATGGCTTTCGGCCAAGCGGTGCGGGCCGGGGCGCGATCCCCGGCTGCTCGGAGATGTTCGGGACCATCGAGGGCTTCGGTATCTCCACCCGGACGAGGCGACGAAGAAGCAGAACAAGACGAAGATGCCCTACGAGCCCTTCGAAGGGCCAGAGGCCGCCGAGGAGTTCATGGTGAACATGCTCCGGGTGGGCTTCAACTTCGTGACGCACAATCTGGACTGGGAGGCCAAGAGCGGCGTGTCGTCGAAGTCAGGCCTGGCCCGCGAGCACCGGCATCTGAGCAGCGCGCTCTTCGTCGCGCAGTCGGTGGACCAGTACGACCTCTCGAACAGCCTCTCGAACGAGATGCACATCAGGAGGTTGATTCAGATCGAGGCGGCGGTTCGGAGGAACCCGAAGTCGCCCGACTTCGAGGGGCTGGAGGTCATGATGTCACACCCAATCGGCACGGGCGGGGAGGTGACCACGAGGAACTTCACCAAGTGGGTCGCAGAGCGGCAGAAGGACGAAGGCTTCCTCCTCAAGCAGCAAAGGCTGTGGCGGGAGGAGAGGGCGGCAGACGACAAGCGCCAGGCTGGCAAGAAGGACCAGCCGGGCGCGGGGGCCAAGTAGGCCTTGCATCGGGGGGCGCCGACGCGCTCAGTGCTGGGTCCCCAGGCGCTGAGCTCGACGCGGCGGTGCCGCTATGCCTGGGGAAGAGAAGGGAGCCCGACGCCATGGAGAGCCCTTCCCAGTTTTGGTACCTGAACAAGTTCGGCCTGAACTACGCGGTGTGCCCCGCTACCCTCGGCAAAGACTTCGGAGGCGGGCTAGCCGTGAGCGGCGGATCCACTCGGTGCTGGGGGCGCTCAACGCCCTGGAGGCCGGGCCGTCGCGCCCCTTTCGCTCAGCTGGGCGGGGGCGAAATGCAACAGGAGAGCGCCCCCTCGGGCCGAGCAGTTTATCGGTCTTCGAGCGGGTGGCGCGTCGAGTTGGGGCAGCCGGGGGACGTCCGGCCGACCTCAGCGAGCAGGGGGCCCTCAAGGAGCTCCTGCGCACCAAGGACCTGTACGGCCTCGAGCCCAGCAACCTGGGATCGTACGCGTACGAGCGGGTCAAGATCCTCGAGTGTGGCATCACGGTCCGCGACGTCCTGGACCTGGTGCCGCCTGACCAGCGTGACATGCTGGCCAACCCGGAGAAGCACATCCTCCGCGACAGCTCCGACCTCGAGCGCGCGAACGAGCAGGAGATGCCGTTCTCGCCCTTCTGGGACCCGAAGCTGCGCTTCTCCAGGAAGGAGCGCTACCGGCTGCTCGCGAGGCTCAAGGAGCTTGGGCTGCTGGGCTTTCGGCGGAGCATCAGAGCGAGGATGGGGATCTTCTTCGTCTCGAAGAAGGACGGGACCCTGCGCCTCATCGTCGACGCGAGGGAGGCCAACCGGATGTGTCGCCGCCCGCCGCACACGTGGCTCGGGACCGTGGCGGCGCTCGGGTCCCTCGACCTTTCGGACAGCTCGGTCGGCTCGGACGAGCCGGTCAACGTCAACGCAGCCTCGGTCGACCTGTACAATGGCTTCTACCAG